CCCATTTCCTAAAGATTCCATTCAAAATGTCTGAAGTGAAGTGTAGGAATCTCAAGAGCTCCTTAAGTCATTCTGAAGTATAGCCGGTTTAGAAAAATGTCATTCTAGGGAACTCCATTTTGTCACTCACTCATTTCTGGGTATCTACAGGTAGATGATAGATTAAGGGAAACAAGCACTTTTCATTTGAATACTTAAGAAATACTTCAGCCCACTGGATGCCCACAATTTCTAATCACATGCTGTTTAGTTATTCAGTTTCTGCACGAAAAAGTAACAAAGAAAAAACCCCATAAAACAAATATTCAGATTCTCGTTGACATTACAAAGAGTTGCAACAGGAAAGTAAGAGTTCTTTTTCTATCAGAGGCCTGTTATATATCAGATGTCTTCCATGTAAATTACTTGAATTTTCACAAAACAATTCTACTGCTTGAACTGAAAAGAAAAATATTGACTAGGAAAAATTCCTCATAATTGTGGAAAACATTCATGTATATCAATTTATAAAAGAGAGGTTCCTAAAGTATTGTGTGTAAAATTTTTTATCCCAAATTGAGTATTTAAATATACTTGAAGAACTGTATATATTAGATAAATCAGAGTCAACATTTCTACAAATAAGAGATTTTGTGAAACAAATATACCTAAAACATAGTCCCACAGAAAATAACAATTCTAAGTGACCTTAAAATACAAGAATTTATCTCCAGTGAGATATACCTAAAGGACAAAGGTAACTACAATATTCTTAAATGACTACCAGTCATCCAATTGTTGACAGCAGTATTGCATTGAGATTAAAGTGGAATAAAGCAAATAAGCAAATGTGTGTTGCTCATAATTAGTATTTTTGGCATGAGTGAAAAGAGAGAATATCGCTGAAACTAAAAAAAATGCCTTATCATTCTGAATGTAAATCTTTGAATTGGAGTTATCACTGTGAATTAATAATGTATCTAATCTTAAAAAAATAGAGTTCTAGTACTATCCACTGAAAAGGCCTAGAAACAATGACAAATCCAGTAGTATAGACTGTGGACTCTAAATACCATTTCCTAATACAAGGAACCTGGCATCCTAGGAAAACAGATCTGGGACAGGAAATGTACAGGTTAAGATAGGGACTTTGTGGTAAATGAGAAATCAAAAAAGCCATCCAAAATTACTAGGGTTGTGTGAAAAAGACTCAGTTCTCTCTAAAGATGAGACAATTTATGCATAAATGGGAATAATAAGTTGCAAGAGATAGAAAAATATCAAATATATATATATGTGTATATATATATACAGTTTTTTTTTGAGATGGAGTTTTGCTCTCATCGCCCAGGCTAGAGGGCGATGGCGCGATCTTGGCTCACTGCAACCTCTGCCTCCTGGGTTCAAGCAATCCTCCTGCCTCAGCCTCCTGAGTAGCTGGGACTCCAGGCATGTGCCACCATGCCCAGCTAATTTTCCGTATTCTCACGCCTGCAATCCCAGCACTTTGGGCGGATCATGAGGTCAGGAGTTCAAGACCAGCCTGGCCAACATGGTGAAACCTTGTATCCACTAAAAATACAAAAATTAGCCCCGCATGGTGGCGCATGTCTGTAATCCTAGCTACTGGGGAGGCTGAGGCAGGAGAATTGCTTGAACCTGGGAGAATGAGGTTGCAGTTAACCGAGATCGTGCCATTGCACTCCAGCCTGGTCGAAAGGAGCAAGACTGTCTCAAATAATAATAATAATAATAATAATAATAATAATAATAATAATAGAACTCTAAACACTGGATGGATATTTGGTTATTTTGAAGAAGTATATATCTTTTTACATGTGATAGTGAAAATTTTTAAGTGAATATCTTTTAGACACATATACCAAAATATTTATAAATAAAATGTAATTTCCAGAACTCACTTCAAAATAATCTAGAAGTAGAGGGAAAAGGAAGGTGTCATGGAAGGAAGTGAATGGAAGTATAGAGGAAACCAGATTGACCCTGAGTTGATAACTACTGCAACTAGATGACAGATACTTGGGTGTTTGTTATATTATTCTACTCTTGTATAAGGTTGAAATCTGTCATAATAAAAAGTTAAGATTTTATCCAAAGGTAGACCTTCATTGAAATGAATCAACTTCAACATCTCTCTTCAACCACTAATACAGGTAATCTCCACTTCAGAGCAACATAAACAGGAGACATAAAACGAGACAAAAGACTGAAAGTAACTGGAAAACAACACAGCACACATAATCACCCCCAAACACAACCACCATCACCAACCAGATGTGCCCACAGATACTGCAAATTTCCATTAAATGTTGGCATACAGATTCTTACTATTAGAAAACATTTGTGAATTATAGATAACAATCTTGAGGCATTTTGAAGAACCATAATGTATAGTTTCAAATTTTAATGTCTGAAAAGTGAGGTATTGTATTTTGATGTATGTCTACACCAGAAAATAACTGAGATTTTAAATTAAATTTTGTCTCTTACAGGGAAAGGTAGGATAATATTGTTACAATAAATTGGTACTTTAGAAACCTAAGGAAATGATCCATATTTCAAGGGAGTTCAGCATAGACTTTCACCAAGTTCCACCAAGTTGCCATTTTGTGACATGTATGAGTTCACCATGTTATAGTCATTCCCCCGCCAAAACAAGTATTTTCTTTAAATACATCGATCATAAAGTATTCTGGCTATTAATAACTATCCATGGGCCAGGCGCGGTGGCTCACGCCTATAATCCCAGCACTTTGGGAGGCTGAGGCAGGCGGATCACAAGGTCAGGAGATCGAGACCTTCCTGGCTAACACGGTGAAACCTCATCTCTACTCTCTACTAAAAAACAGAAAAAATTAGCCGGGCGTGGTGGCTGGCGCCTGTAGTCCCAGCTACTTGGGAGGCTGAGGCAGGAGAATGGCCTGAACCCGGGAGGCTGAGCTTGCAGTGAGCCGACAGTGAGCCACTGCACTCTAGCCTGGGTGACAGAACGAGACTCTTTCTCACAAAAACAAAAAAAATAAAAAAACTATCCATTGAATGCTTAAGTGTCAGTTACTCTGCTAAATATCATTGCTTGATTTAATCCTTTTAAATCAAGGTTATACCCCAATGGTAGATATAATCCTCACATTACAAATTAAGAAACTAAGGCTGCAAGTAAATTGCCCCAGATGAAATAATAAACATATTGATTCCTACTGGTTAACAATAGGTCAGTTTTTATCAAATGCTTGGCAATATGTGAATGTTTATACACGTTATTTCAAACCTCTCAAAATTATGAGACAGTCATTTAACCAGGAGGGCATTCTCATCCTAAGTTTCAAGGAATTTGCTAAAAGGTCATGTGTAATAATGGGAGAGCCAGGATTTGAACACTGATCTGACTCCAAAGCTCATGTCTTTAGCCAGTACATTTAACATCCTCCTAAACTAGCTTCCTGTACAGGTATTCCCATATTTTTAATATGCACCAACAGAATTGGATACATACTCTGGCTGTGGTTTGTTGAGACTATTACTTCTGATATTCATAGATTTTAATATTAACATTATGATTCTGCATTGGCACCTTATATTGGTTCATATTAAGGCTTAGACACTCTAGTATTCCATAACACCAGGATCTATTTCCAGAATGTTCTGCCAAATTTAGACCTTAAAGGTAAAATTCCAGCTTCAAATGATGGTGTACTCAAGATTCTCAATTGCATCAGCTGAATGCTGTTTTACATCATCTAAAGTTTGATAAAACATTTTTTTTGCATCTTTATTATTGCTGATGAAATCACTGTTTACATTATAGAGGAAATTGTTATGTTAAATAGAACCTTGAAATACCAAAGATTTCCTTCAACATCACCATGAAGTATTAATGGAACAATCCTTGTGTCAAATGCCTTGTACAGACTGGGCATGGTGGCTAATTTCTGTAATCCCAGCACTTTGGGAGGCTGAGGCAAGAGGATCACCTGAGGTCAGGAGTTCGAGAACAGCCTGGTCAACATGGTGAAACCCCCTCTACTAAAAATAAAAATTAGCTGGGCGTGATGGTGTACCTGTAATCTCAGCTGCTTGGGAAGCTAAGACAGGAGAATCACTTGAACACAGGAGGCAGTGGTTGTAGTGAGCTAAGATTGTGCTACCACACTACAGCCTGGGCAAGAGAGCAAGACTCCGTCTCAAAAAGAAAAAAAAATTGCCTTGTACAAACAAAGTCTATGCCTTTCCCTCTGTTCATGAACCATCATTCATTTACAGACTAGTAATTCTTCTTATACATATATTAATAACTTCATTTATTGTCTCCCAATATTTAATTCATTTTTCCATGATTAAGTCTTAGTAAACTTCTGATGGTTTAAGAACACCATTTATAAACCATTTTAAGAACTCTGCACATTTTTAAAATTAATTATCTTTATCAAAAGGTTTTTTCTTAAACTTTGTTCTTTGATATTAATTTGGATTCAGTTGAGCAGTCCTTAATATTTTGTATTAAACCAAGTAACTTCAAATACAAGAAAATATTTTAGAAATATGCACTAGAAAAGGTGCACCATAATAGAAAACTAGATATAAAAGCATAGTCTAAACTCTTCAGGATTTAAAGACTCATTATCCTATGGTGCTAATAACTAGAATAGGGGGTAGGGAACTTGAACTTAGCATGCTAGAAAATCTTATGATGGGTTTTATAGCTGAAATTGTCTTCTATAAATCAGTTTGTACAGTGTTCATGCCATTTTGTCTTTGTTTTTGCCCATTAAACATGAAAAACTTAGATAACATTAATTTGCTTACGTTCTTAGGCTACAAAGGGTCAACACACAAGCTTTTGAAATAGTTAAAAACAGCACTATTTTATATAGTAGGTAGACAGAAAGTATAGGCAAACTGAAAAATCTAATTGATACACTGATTTTTTTTTTTCCAGCAAGCTTTATTAATCCATCATGGATCTACTCATGTTTGCAGCAGATACCATGATTTCATTACCAGTGAAGGGAGAAAAAAAAAAAAAAAAAAGAAAATAGCCTTTGATGCCTGTCACATCTAAGCAGATCTAAACTACTATGGGACTAAACAGCCTAGCTGGTCAGTTGTTATTTCACATCTAATTAAAAGCTTCAGCAAAAGTGGAAATACATTAAAATTCAAAATCTAATACTGTTCTCCTAGTGCCTCAAGTAGTTTATTGGTAGTAATTATCCACATTTCTATAAACATTCTAAGTGACCATCACTAGTGCAGGAATATTTAACATATGAAGTCTCCACATGAAGCTACTTCATTCATTTTGTGTGACACAAGAATCAAGGTTCCAAACACTCAGTTATGCCACTAAAAAACAAAACAAAACAAAAAACAAAGCCAAAACAAATCCTGCTAGCAAAATGCATTTCTTTCAGTGATTTTTCAGAACCAACAGCTGTTGCTTTAGACATAAAAAATAAGCTGATTTAGTAATATATGGTCACTGGAAGTAAGTCTCTATCTGTAGATAAGAATTAGATAAAGGTCTTTCCTCCTTATAGAGCTTTTTATCCAATGTAAACAGCACCACTGAATTTTCATAAAACAGGTTTGTTACTTTCCCCTCATTTTCTATAATTGTAATTCTTATCTGCCATACTGTTACCATTTCTTCCTCTCTATAATCAGGACTGGACAGCCCATGTAATACTGTTCAATTTGTAAACAAAAAATTAAAGCTCAGAACACATACAGGGTATCTTTTACATTTTCATTCTACAGCGCATCTTTTACATTTTCATTCTACAGCGCATCAGGTATATTTATAAAGCTTTTGCTCTTCCCAACACACTACAAAAATATATAAAAACCACATTTGTTTTCAGCCAGCAAATATTAATAAAACAAATATCTCATAACTGGAATATTTTAGAGACCACATATTTTAATTACATCCTCTTGACTAAATCATTAATTTCCTTCTTCATAAATCCATATATGTATCCAGTGCATATTTATTAGTTTACATGCCCATATTTACTATGAATGAGTCAATTATTTTAGGTTCTTCAAGAGAAAGTGCTTCTGACAACAAACTATTTCTATAGTAGCCCTAAATCCCCCAAAAAGTTGTTTTAAACCTGTGTAGAACGATGCATAGCTATTTCTAAAAAGTAAGACTACACACCAAAACATGCTTTGTCAGGAAAACTAATCCATGCACTTGAATACACCCCAAATATCTTATTTTTATTAAAGGCAGACCAACTTAAACATTGTCTAGAATTAAGCTATACCATTAAATTACTTGATTCCAGAAAGCGTCAAAAATCATTTGGCCAAAACTTAAAAAATACTCCTTGTTCCTTACTTCAAAAAAGGACTGGTTGGACCAATGTGATCAGTATAACTGCATATATGTTAATCTACCTTAACATTTCCATCGATTAGCACTTGATCATTACAAAGCCTTGTATGCAGTTTTCTTGCAAAGGCTTCCCCCGCAAAAAGATATAAGCACAAAACACTAGGCAGACACTCTTGAAAGTTTTATTTCACTAACTTCAGGCCAAATTTCCACAACTGTGTTCTGGTCAATTTCCTATCCTAGCTTGGCTTCCCCAAATGCTAGTACCAAAATGTTTGTGGGGTAGGGAGAAGAGACCACTTTAAGAAGCACTGCATTTACTCATCTTCCACAAGGCAACAGAGTTGGGCATCTGATTGTTCAACAAAACAAAGCTTTAATAGCATCCAGGAGGGCAGACAGGCAAACCAGGTTGTAGACACTCTTCTATTTGTCAAAATCAGACCAGAGAAAACCTACTCCACACAGATATAATAGGTATTGATATTCATCTTTTCTTTTTCTGTTGCCGCAACATTTTTCTTCTTTTAATGATCATATCATGTAGTTTCTCAAGTCCTTCCTTTAGGCCATCTCCTATGATTGCACAGGTAGGCTGCAAATGCCAAGGAGTTGATGAGCTCAGTTCACCCATTGCTAACAATTTCTCAATTTCTGAAAGAGACAATGAGTTCCTCAAGTCTTGTTTGTTAGCAACTATAAGTACAGGGACTCCTTGATTTTCTGATATCCTAGTTATTTTGTGAAGTTCAGTTTTGGCTTCCTCCATCCTTTCGACATCAACAGAGTCCACAACAAATACAATGCCATCTGTGCATCTGGTATATGACTTCCACAGTGGCCTTAACTTCTCCTGACCACCTACATCCCAGAAGTGAAACGTGACTGTTTTAGAATTTCCCAAGGTTACCTTAATTTTCTCAGTGTTAAATCCTTTGGTAGGTACGGTATTTACAAATTCATTGAACTGCAGCCTGTATAAGACAGTTGTCTTTCCAGCACAGTCCAAACCCAGAATAACAATGTGGAAGGACTGAAATGAAGGCAGGTTGGACAGGATAGAAGTCTGGTCTGATAGCCCATTCCCCATTTCCAGGTGCAAATAAATGTCCCAAATTGAAGTGCTTTTCTCTTCTCGCTTTAGAACTTCTCTTGGTAGCTGATTCAGCTATAAGACTGCTGGGAGAGGGAAGAAATAATAAGTTATTCTCCTGAAATAATACATTAAAACAGGTTTTCTCTACTTTGCGAAAATAAACAACACGAAGAACTTACAACTTGCTTCGCTAAACCAGACGAGATATGAAACGTACATGAAAACACACACAATTCAAGACAAACGATGGAATAACAGTGATTGAAATTATCTGGCTTACTTAAATTGCAGTAATATGTACGTTTTTCTCCTGGGCCCCCAAACCTCAAAAACCTCATTCTGGAAAGAACCCAGTTAACAGTATGTGGTCTAAGTGGCCATAACCACAAAGTGCCTATTTGGCAGAAAACTCATAAGCAGATAGTCCTATCTTGGGAATCTTATTCCACATGCTTAACAGCATACCCAAGATCACTATTACCTCCTAACCCTTCCAAAATAACAACGTTCTCACCTCCCGATCCGGAGTCTGGGTCCAAATGAGAAAGCATTGGCAAGCGTTTCCACGCAGGGATAAGCACCCCCACGTCTTTCCAGCTTAGCTCTCCAAGCAGCTTTGGCAGTTATCGCACTAGAAACCTTGGACTCAGACTCCGACCACGCCCACTCCTCCCGGTCCACCCATGATCCCAAATCCCATTGGTCACCCGCATCAGGGTAGCCATGCAACTCCCGCCCCCGCTCCGTAATTGGTGAGGGTAACTGCCGCTCCCAGCACGGCGGAGCTGGGCTCTCTCTCGGTCCACCGGCACCACCTGTTGCCCTTAAGTTAGAAAAGGCGGCGTTCTCGGAGGGAGCCGAGCAGCCGCTGCAGGTGAAGGGGAGCCTCGGGCGGTCAGGTCGCCGCCAGGCTGCCGGCTCCGTTCGGCCCGGCGCACCTGCAGCGCAGCCAGGGCGCCAAGCTGAGGCTCTCACATCCGGGGCCCGCAGTCACCGCCAACGCGTTAACCCTTTGTCCGCATGCCCGAGGGTGCCGGCTGTGACCGCGCGGGCCCCTGAGGTGCTAGAGATGAGACCTGGCGCGCCCGCTAGGGTAAGCCCACCTTCCCCGGAGCGGGATCCCTTCACCCTGCCCCTCCGCACACAATCGGCTCTTCTCCCTTGACAGGGCGTGGCCGCCGCGGCCGCCCACCCAGCCGCAGCTCACCTGACTAACCGTCCTTCCTTCGCTTCACTCAGCGTTTCTCCCAGCCGCTGGGGAGGCGCGCTGATACCTGTTCCCTGGCACGAGGAAGGCGTGGGCGATGGCGGAGGACTGGGCGCCTGGCGGGCGCCGCGCGCCAGGCTGCCCTAACGGTGCTCGCCCAGCAGCTCCACGCGACAGTCCCCGCCCCCTCCCGCGCGCCGCCCGGGCGCCGGCCTGTTGGGGGCGCGCAGGAGCCGCGTCTCCTAGCAACGCCAAAACAAGGTCGAGTTCGTATCGGCCTAGCGCTGGCTGCCCGCGAGGTCGGATGGGACTTCCGGCCTCACCCCTGAGCAACCTCACCCCGGTTGCTCCCGGTAGCCCTGTCTATGGCGGCCCGCCAGCCTGGCACGATTCCCCCCCACCCCCCGGCACGGCCTTTCCTCGGGGCGCCTAGGGCATCTGCGGGGCAGCCGCCAAGTGATGCGAGGTTAGGGATTCCGTAGTTCACGGGTTACGGGTGGTCCCGTATATATCGAGGTGACGTGGAGGTCCCCAAGTAGTTGGCCTTAAGCGGCCTGGGTTGGCTGGGCTGGTAACTGTGCCTTCCTTCGCTTTTTGTAGAGCAAGTGAACGCGCTCTCTCACGTGGTTCTAGCAGCATCCCTGGGAGCTGGCGACAGATAGAAATATTCCAGTTTGACACATAAGGAAATACACTCTGAAAGATGAAAGATGTTTCTTTTTTTCTTTTTCTTTCAAATTGCTCACACAATTTTAATTGCGATAATTTCCGATATACCATTCAACTAAACAATTTGCATATGCTGTAGTGAGACATGGGAGTAAGAGTATTTTGCTTGAGTGTCCAGTTCTCTTTAAAACCAGCGTTTGCAGTTAACGACTTGGAAAATACAACACAAAAAGCCATCTAGCCTTTTTTAAAAATCTCTATTTATCCCTTCAAAATTCCCTTTGTGGCCATATACATACTAGGTGGCTCTACCTGCAGAAAGCTGCATTTTCCAAGCAGCGAGAGAGTTTAATTCTTAACTTTCCTGTACTCCTGCCTCTGCTGGCTCCTTTGCATTTTTGTTTGCATCCTCTTCTTTGTCTTCTGTGCCTTTCGTTCTAGGTTAATCTGAGCAAGCTCTTCACTTTTGTCTGTGATATATTTCAGCAGTGAATTACTCCTTCTGGCTAAGAGCTTCACATCTTCAGTGTTAATGGTGGTTCTTTTCGCATGTCTTGCACACATTTCTAGATCTTGCACTGTCGAAAAGTTAGCTCCAAAATTGCTGCAATGATAAGTTTGCTGAACTGCATCTCTGCCCAATGCCACTTCCTCGCAAAGACAACCCACAGTGTAGTGCACTGCTGCTTCCTTTGGCCTCTGTTGGTAAGAAAATGGCTAAGAAAATCCCTGGTGCTCTTCCGTCTCCACTTCCTCCTTCATCAGAACGGGGAGGCAAACGCACGGAAAGGAAAAAGGAAAGAGGCTGTGGGGCAGCGGCCAGATTGGATTTTCCCTCCGCAGCCCTAAAGGGATGTTTCTAATGACCCAAGGAAAATTAGCCGTGGTCCTGAAACTGTTCATCTAAGTCTACTAGTCATCAAATGCAAAATGCTTTTCACTGGATGATTCTGACTAAATGTAGTTTTGTCTTTGATCAATAAGTTCACAAATATTTATTGAACACCTAATAGGCTGTAGACACAATTCTGTGTGCTTGGGGATAAAATGGTGAGCGAAACACACTGTCCCTGCCCTTGTGGAATATTGGAGTCTCTATGGATGAATAAATTTATAAAATGTTTTCAGCGGTAATTTCAGGGTTCTTATGACAACCTGCAAAAGAAGTAATGACTTAAAGTTGTAGGAAAGCTTTAGTCGACAAAACATCTTTTTGGTGAAGGCTGTAAGATTGTAACTTGGAAGAACCTATTTGGTACACTTTTTAAAAATTGTCCTTTTTTTCTTTTTAAATATAGATTGGAGTTTCCTCAAGAAATATCATAGTTTTTCTCAAGACCACTATTGCCAGTGATATGTATTTCTTTTATGACTAGCACAGGAACGTGCATACTTGTCATACTGGATTCTTAAAGTCGAAAACAGCCTGGCCAACGTGGGGAAACCCCACCTCTACGAAAAATACAAAAAATTAGCCGGGCGTGGTGGCAGGCGCCTGTAATCACAGCTACTCAGGAGGCTGAAGCAGGAGAATCACTTGAATCTGGGAGGCGGAGGTTGCAGTGAGCCGAGATCGCGCCATTGCACTCCAGCCTGTGCAACATGAGCGAAACTGTCTCAAAACAAACAAACAAACAAACAAAAAACAAAGAAAAAAGCAACGTAAAATCCTAAGTTCTAAGTACAATGCATAATTTCAAGACAGCCACACTAATTTTGGGAATAAAACCTAGAAACATCAAATGGCATATTCAATTAATTATATTGATCTATTATAAACTATAATTAATCTATTATAAACTAAGGATTGCCTGATTATTTATAATTGTGAAATCTCATTAGCCATTCACATAATCAGCAAATAATTGATAAAGGGCTTAGTGCAATACCCTATTTCCTTTTCTTGGAAATTCAACAGGGATTCTTTATTAAACTGGAATAACTTGCAGATCCTCCTTAAGTCAAGAATTTAGAGCAAGAAAATTCTATGGCCACCCGCTGTTTACAGTAGTTTTGAAACCAGTAGGCCCTTCCAGTATTCCTTGCATAGTCTTCCCTGGAGCAAAAAGGGGAAAAAGGAAAACAAAAACACTGAGGGCTTCCAATTTTGCAGAATCACCCTCAGTGAATTGCACTTTCATGTTATACTCTAGGTTTTAAAACTACAGTAGTCGTTGGCAAACTGCAGCCTATAGGTCAAATTCAGGAGATAATAATGGTTTTTATATGTTTAAAGGCTGCAAGAGAATGGATAAGAAAAGAATATGCAATCAAGATAATCTGTGCCCCCTCCCCCCAACAACACACACATACAAAATAAATGTGCTCTCTGCTTCTGTAGAAAAATGTTTGGTATGCCTGTTCTCTCTCTCTCTCTCTCTCTCTCTCTCTCTCTCTCTCTCTATATATATATATATATATATATAAACCATATGAAAACAACAACAAATGATACTAAAAGCAATGGAATTTGTGGAACACAAAGTTCACTTTGTTTCATGATCTTATAGAAGACCCATTCAGAGATTTTGCTTATATTCTATGCCAGAAAAAAATCCCTTTAGGCTGTAGCTTGTAAACAGTGCTTCAGTGCCCTGGGGTGCCTCGGAATTCCTAGGGGTTCTGTGGGATAGTTTAACTTTTTGAGGGAAACACAGTGACATCTGTTGGACCATATTAATAACTACAAATATCAAGTTTGGATCTATCAATTTCATAAATAGAAAGGGTGGGTATTTATTTTAGCCTGAGGTACCATTAAAAAATTACTGAGGCACTGGGGCTTCTGGGAACCTTGCCTTTAATTATGGTTTTCCAAACTTGGCCAATGATGAGAAAGAATCACCTGTTAATGCTTGTAAATGTATAGATTCCTGGTTCCTCCTGTTTCAGACCCCCCAAATCAGAATCATCAGGAGAGGAGTCAGTGATCTGTATTTTAAGTAAGTATTTCAGATAATTAATGATTAGACACTTAGAAGAAATACTAATCATAAGAAATGGGTAAGTTTTCTCCTTTTAAATAACTACAACTGAGTACTTTGATTCTCTTTTTGAATTAAATATCAGGACCCATATCAAATCTGATGCCTGTGTTCTCACTTTTAAGTAGAAGCTAAACAATGGATACACATAGACATATAGAGTGGAATCATAGACATTGGTGACTTCAAAAGGTGAAACGGTGGGGGAAGGGTGAGGGATGAAATACTACCTATTGGGTACGGTGTACACTATTTGGGTGATGGGTACACTAAATGCCCAGACTTCACTACTACACGATATATCCATGTAACACAACTGCACTTATACCCCCCGAATCTATGAAAATAATAATTAAAAATCAGATGCATGTGGCATTCTTCTTCTCTTCCATAGCCTGATTTTTTATGATAGACATAAGTTAAGCATGCACATACTGAAATAGTGTCTTTCCTTACCTTTGTCACAGCATGTGTATGTGTGTGTATGTGTATAGATAATATAGATGTATATGTTTAGGGTACCTCACTTTAGTAGTTTCCATGCATATTTATTATGAGAATAATAGAGAATTTATTAGAGAATTATTGAGAGGGGTATAAACATTGATTCCCTTGTATCACTTTATTATCATCCTTGCTAAACACATGGCCTTCCTCTTTTAGTTCCTGTTTTGGTTGACGGCAATTTATTCAGTAGTCCCAAGTGGAAATTTCAGGGCCATTTAAAAAATTCTCCTATATCCCACTTATGATTAGCTATCAAGCTCCCTTTAGTTCATGTTTTTCCATTCCTATTTCCACTACTTGCATCTCACCTATACTAATTTTTTTGTGACCTCTCACCTATACTAATTTACCTCCTAACTGATTTTTCAGCTAAAAAGCAGTGGAGCAGGAGTTTGTTTCCTGTGTCTGGCTCCAAGTCTCTTAACAACTGTATTCTAGGGAGTTCACATTTAGGTTAATTCATTTTGATCCATGGCAGCATAGAGCCAGGGTACGATTTTTGATAAAACTTTAAAAAGAGGATGTCAGAAGGGAAGTACAACCCAAAATTCACTAGAAATGGGTCCTAGATAAGAGTTTTCAGAGTCCACAAGTCTAAACCCTCCTCCTGAACTTCTTTTATGGACAGCTTCAAGGCCTAGCTCCACCCAGTTCCAAGTCACAGGACAGTTTGCCCCTTCCTCTGGAAAAGCCTTCACATGCCTCTCCATACCTGAGTGCAGGCCCAACTGCCAAGAAGCCCAGTGGTAA